GGGTAGTGGGAATGAATGAAATGTCACGTCTTCTATAAGAGCCGCAAACTTTGTAAACTTTCTACCATCAAACCGACTGTTTTGCTATCGAAATTGGATTTGTTAGTGGAATCTCTGTGTATTCACTGATCTCGTTTCATTTCAACTTCTCACCCGTAAATTCTGTTAATGGTCATGCTAAGTGTGTCTATTATTGGCATGTTTTTCGTGAACAATCTGTGTGGTATGTTGCGAATGAACCCTTCACGCGTTGGCGGCGCCGCCGACCACTGAACCCTGCTCTGCATTCTCTGTGCCGATGTCTCGGCCTCCCAGCTGTGCGATCTCCCACATCGCTCTCCTGTCTGCTTCTGCCTGCACTCCACGAACAATTCTGCAACATTGTGTAGTAAAAAGTCGCATGGCAAATCGGTGCGTTCGTTGATTCCAGTTTGTCTCCCAGTAAGTGAATCTTTCTTATCCTTAGATTCCTGTCGCTCAGAACCTCAAGTAGAAATTTGTTTTTTTTTCTAATTTGACCTTGCTCTTCTACATATTTTATCTTTTAATTTCATCCAACGGTATTTTTCACATGGGAGGGCTGTGAAATAATTCCCACTTGTTGTAGTCAGGAAAACTTTGCAATATCAGCATAGTTGACTCTTTTTAGTCGAATGCAGCTCTTGCCGTTTTCTCACCTTCCTTTGCAGTTACGGTCTTTTTGCAAATGATGTAGTGAGAAAAAGTTGCAGTCCTGTTCCAATGAAATCGTCGGCAATATTTTCGATTTCGTACATATACATATAGAAATTTCATGAAAAAAGCAATATATATCAGTGTTAGGTATGCATGCGCACGTTACTTTCTTCGTTATTCGCAAACTATTTCTCGATTATTGGAAATCGTCACGTTCTTGGTTAATTTTCCGGGAAAGCCATTTTATAAAATGTATCATTGCTAATTATGACAGAACAAGGCGTACAACATGCCTCCAAATGAATCAATAAATAACACAACTAACGAAGAACGGAAGCCGAGCACAGAAAAGTTGGAGATACATGTGGATCCTCCGCAAGGGACATCTACGTCTTCGATACAGCCACCGACTTCTATTGCTCCCGATCTCATGGCGTGTCTTGGAAGAATGCTGAATTCCCCGGGATCGTCAACGTCCTTACCATTTCCTTTGGGTGTGCCTACACTTCCAATATTCCCTCAATTAACAAATAACGTCTATCCTTGGCTACTCACACCACCACTGTTGACTCCTCCGCCTAACGTGAACAGTCCGCCAATACCTTGCCCAGTACCGTCACCAACATTGCCCACGTTGCCCACATTGCCCACATTGCCAACACAGCTTCTCGACGTCAGGAAAAATGTGGAGGCACTGGTTCACAGGCTTTTTTCGTCGGCCATGTCGCCTCCTTTCTCTGGAAATCAGTCGATGGCTCAAAATGGCAATAATTTGAACGCTCTTCTGAATACCCCACAGAGCTTTGTTAACATCCCTTTCGCCAATTCATCTTCTTCGAGTCAATCGCAAGTGGGGAACGAGTTTCCGTCACCATCCGTGGCTGAAACGGCTTCTTCGGATATTAAAAAAGGATTACTTACGACGGCACCGCTCTTTAAGAGTGAAACTCGTAATGAGCCAGGTGAGCTGGATAGTGTGTATTTCTCATTTTCTAGGGTATCACGCCCATCATAGAGTTACAATTCAAGGGTTGGCAACAATATTTTTGGCAGATAAGCAATATTGTTTAGCTTTTTTGGGCTGATCTGGCCTAACACCTTTTTTACCTCTCAGTTGTTAATGGGTTTGTTATATTGCGCTGTTTCAGTTGCTCCACAACGGCGTTTTCCGTGCATGCCCCTGCCGTCCATCCACCCGGTAACTCAAACAGCGATGGCTTCTGTTTCCGGGCCGATGCAACCGACAATGATGCCGTGCAATGCCATCGCTGGTCCATCAAGAGTGCCGGGCGATGCCTCCCATCCTGTTCAAGTACAAAACATGCCTTTTGTCCCGGGATCATCGAATTCGAAATTTCGAGAAGGGCAAGGGCTTCCGACCATGCATTGCGCTCCTAGTTCATCGACCATGTCTGTCAATCCGTCGCTGATTGTGCCTAACATGGATTCTCAGGGTTCATCACAGCAATCTTCTCGGCCTACGGCTAGATATTACCCATCGGTAAGCCAGTCAGAATCGTTGTTCGGTGAAAAAACTCTTGGACATTACATATTCACAGGGCAAGAAAATCGGTCGTCCACCAGGCTCTTATAAACGATTCGACCACGGATCTTCGGCTTCTAAGAACAAGTGGGTTTTTTGAACTATGTTGTCATATTATTATGTGTTTATGCTGGGTAATTAAGGGTGTTAAGGGTTGATTATAATATCTAGGTACATTTAAATTGTTCTATGGGTAATTATAAGTGCCAGAATTCTTAGGAAAGGCACTTTGTTGCCGCAAAGTTTTGAGAACCGCTGTTTTTAATTCTAACTGTGGTGACTCTGAACATATAGGTTAACTCTAAGTGATGTTCTGAAGAAGGATTCTGAAGAATGCAATGTTTCCAACGAAGTTGTCGACGTTGAAACATTAACCGAAGAAAAATGCGAGTGGGACCAATGCCAGCTTGTCTTTTCTACTCAAAAGGTAGCTTCTTATGCTTTTGCTTTCACAGAGCAGCTACTCATTACATTACGTTTTAGGCTTTAGTGGACCATGTGGCTGAATGTCACGTGAATATTTCAAACCGAGACTGGGTTTGTAAGTGGAGAGACTGTGAGCGGACAGAACCATTTCGAGCCCTCTACATGCTCGTTGTTCACGTCCGAAAGCACACTGGCGAGAAACCTAACGAGTGCACGGTACGTTAGACACGTTTTACATTAGTACTAGGTCACGGTTACGCACTGCTTTCAGCATCCGGGATGCAACAAATCGTACAGTCGACTTGAGAATCTAAAAACACACATGAGGACGCACACTGGAGAAAAGTTAGTAACACTTTAAGTTCATCTTTTTTGACTGATCTCTTTTGTCTCAGGCCATATGCTTGTGAAATCCCGGGATGCCCAAAAGCATTCAGCAACGCAAGCGATCGCGCCAAACATCAGAACAGAACGCATTCTAATTTGGTTTGTTTGTTCCCAGCTTGCGGCTCAGAATTTACCTGAATGGTAGCTTCAAAGCGCTTTTTATTACAGAAACCCTATATCTGTCCTGTTGCACAGTGCGGTAAAAGTTATACGGATCCATCGTCATTGAGAAAACATATCAAGACTGTACATGGAGATGAAGCATATGAAAAGGCGAAGAAAAACCGGCCGCACAACACTGGTGGAAGGCGAAAGGTCTGTCTGCCAATTGTGCTCTACAATCTGTTTCTAATGTTTTTTTTTGTAGAAAAACAACAACTTGTTGCATACCATGCCTCTTAACATATTGCATTTCGCTGCAATGCAGCAGGTAAGTTCCTCGAGGTCAGTTCATCTCTGATACTTCTGTTTATGCAGTTACTTTTGCAGCAGCTGTCTCAAAATGGTAGCAGTAGCGAGCCTGGTATGGATACGGAGACGGTGTCAAGCGCAGATCAAGAGCCGTCAGAGGACGCGAAAGGGACGTCAAACACCTCACCGTGTATGGAAGATTACAAATTGAGTGAGTACAAAAACATGCCGAATTTTACTTTTGCAGTTTGTAATCTTGAGTAATTAAGATCATCTTGGTGGTGGCGATGATGGTACGCGTGCCATGTCCCACAGTTCGACTGCTTCTGGGTCAGGATCTGCTTCAGGAGCAGCTCCAAGTCCTGCGGGCTCTTCAGTGTCATGCCATTCCGGTGGCACTGGCGCTTCCACGACTTCATCCAGTAGTCATCAGCAGTCTAGCAGCTTCTTTATCGAAAAAATTCTGAATGGTGTGAGCAAGGCAAACAATTTCACTGAGCAAAAGCGCTGTAAGCTTAGGAAATTCTTGCGTTGGGACCTCGTATGGAATTAGAAACACCTTTTACAGTGTTCCGAGAGGCTTTCAATCATCCCGATTTCCGTTTGGAGATGTTGTCTGGCTTCAATTTACCTAACTTGGAAGCTCTGTTGAATACTATTGAGGAACCTCAAGAGAAAACAGATTTTTATGTAGGCGTTCCATCCTTTTCAGTTTTTCCTTACAGATCGCATGATTTGTTGCAAGATGTAGCTTTTAATCTTTTCAGTCACGTAGCTCGAGTGATTCAAGTCTCAACCAAGATTTTGTGGCTGGTGAAATGGCCAAAAACGCTCACTTGAAGGTGGATGGATTGACGAGGTATCGTAGACAGAAGGATGACGAATGGTCTTCAGCGCTCGGCTTTTCCGACAGTAGTATTTCAACGACCGGTTCCAGCTTGACAAACACAGAGGTCAGCTCAGCGTCATATCTCATGAAGACGGCATTATTTCGTTTTATTTTGTTTCCAGACTTACGGTGAGGATGATGACGAAATCGATGATCCTTCGCCCCTGGCTTCAATCGATGACCTCTTCTCGTCCCCTGACGAGGAAGGCGGTGTGCTGGTGGCTATGCGCCATCCATATCACCTTTCCGGACGCTTTCCATGCGCTCATGAAAAATACAAGTGTACGCAACTCCTTTTCCAATTCTTGCTTTTCCATTTAAATCCATGCAAGCCTACACTTCTCTATTTTGATGCCTTTTCAGTACCGATGTTGGATGGCGACCAGCTTGCTGATGAACTGGGTTCCGTTTTTCTAAGCGATGCGGCTTTAGGCGCTGATGCCGATGCGTCAGTAAGTACGAATACGAATTCAGATGGTTTTCTGGATGCTGAGGCGGTAATATTATTGTTTTATCTTATTCCTAACAGTGGTTTCATGGCTTTATTTAGGAGAATCCTCATCCTTTTGTTGGAATCCCTATTGGTAGCCGTTCTATGGCTAGTGATTGTAGCTCGTCACTCAGCTCTCAGGCGCATTATGTTCACGGCTCATACACCAGTATCGAATCACAGGTGCTGTCCGACGCTAACAACCTAGAACCAGACGCGCTCAATCCGGATTTTGGGCATTATTCGGAGACGGAAGTGCAAGGCGAATACGGTGAGACTCCTACTTTTTTCTCGTCTTTATTGAAATGACTGAGTATCGTTTACAGTTCCTCGTGTTTCACCACCTTTGATACCTCATTTCGAGCAAAGTTTTATGCCTATGGAGCACCTCTCGGATGCCCATAATTCGCCAGTGTCTGAACTTGTCCTCTCGACCGCTCCTCGTTCGGAGTGCGAGTTCACTCATCGTCACATGCAACTGGAACAGCAGATTGAAGAAGAGGGAATCATGGTGAGAGTTGTTTTTACAATCAGCTTGGAGTATTTTGTTCATAAGTCGAGTTCTGGTTTGTTCATTTGCAGATCAATGCGAAGCTACCTCCTGCGGAGCGCCTTCTCTATCGCCCTGGGATGGATATTTTAAATGCTGGGGTTCTCGTTCAAGCTCATGGTCATTGTGAACCTGTATGGTACACTGAAGGAAATCAATATAATATCTATAATGAAGCAGAGGTATGGCTCCTTTGCTCTCTAATATTTTTCTTGTACTATTTACTACTTTCTCTTGTTCATGTCTTTTCTAGGTCATTGAAGCACCCACCGAAGAAGTTCCCCAAAATACGGATGATTTGCTCGCAACCGAGCTTGTAACAACTCCTCCGCTTTCAGAAGATTTTGACGTCGTAAGCGATCTCTCGGTGAGACTTGTCGTATTGTCGCGAAAGAACTAGAGTGTGCTTGTTGCTTCTCTGGTTATCACGTATCTGGGCACATTCCGCGATTATCGATCCCTTCCGCGAATCAGCTTACGGATCTACCTACATTAGCAGTTACAGGGTTTTTCGCGACTCCAAAGGAGTGAAAGGCACTAGAGGCATGCTATTTACAACATTGTATGCTTTGGTAAACACTTACGTCCACCGCTATGGTGTCTACTTCCTCTCTTCTGTTATGCTGTGTCATTCCCGTCTGTCGTTAATTTGGTACCGTGCCAAGTGTCTCTAGACTGCTCGCGTCCTTGTTTTGCGATGCACAGAAAAATAAGAGCCCCATTTTGGATGCTCTCAGTACTTCTTTTTTCCACTGGCAAGTAAGCAAGTTATTTCATGTTTCATTTACCATTTTTCTCGTTTTGCCATCGCGAGTGAACTTCAGATGAGGCTAAAATTCGTACTGCTTTTCATTATCCAAGCATAATGAATTCCGTTTAGGATTTCCATCTCGATCGTAACAGCTTCATTCATGATTACCTCGGCGAAGATGCGTTGTCAGCTTCCATGAGGAACTTGAATGTCGTATGTCCTGAGCACGACCCAAGTCTCATTCCAGAGAAATGATTCATTTGGAGATCTTCAGCTAATAACTTTTTGAAGTATGTATACCTAACTTTTCTAATTTCGATCTTTTTTAAAGAGAATTAGGGATCAAACGTGCCTTTTTCATTTTATTAACCATGTAGGCTTTACAAGTCGTTCTCATTCTTTTGCAATAGGCGTTCGTTTGACGTACACTAATTTTTCTTCCCGCTGAAGCCATTATCAACCCCCAGGGTGGGGACCAGTTAATGCTTAGGACGTTTGTTTGTGGTAATACTTTGTTCTTCGAACATTTTTGAGATAGGCTAACGCTTAAGTCCTTAGCATTCTCTGGTCGCTATAACATTACATTTAATTCATTTTCGAACAGAATCTTCCATTCTTGCCATATTTGCATATCAACACGGTTTTGCTTTGTCACTTTGCTTAGTGTGTGCTTAGCTCCCACTAAATGGGTATGAAATACGTTGTAGGGAATATACTGTGCCGTGCATACATCTGCGAGTATCTTGAAACCCTTAGCCTTGTTTACAAAGGTCATAAGCTGAATCGCATGGCCGCCTTACTTATTCCTCATTCTCAAAATTCGGTTCTACCATACATCTGGTATGTCAGTATCTCTCGGTGTTGATTCAAGTGCACAGGTGCATGCATTTGTACCGATTTTGTTGTTGTTCCTTTTATTTGAAGATAACTCTAGATCGCAACGCTTTATAGCTTTAGCTTTTTACAGTTCAGCATGAAAGAGGATGCTGAATCACCAAGTAATGTAGTTGAATTTTTTAATAAAAAAGTGGTGAGTTCTAATGTATTGTACTTGCGCCTCTTTCGTGTTGCACTGATGACAGTAGACCGATGCTGAACGAAGAAACATGATCATCTTTTATATTTCCAGATTTACTTCTTAGCTTCTCATTCTTTTTTTGTCATTAATTCGCTCAAAGTGAATAATAAATCACTGAAGATTGAAGAGAATGTTTTGATTCTGGAGTTTCTTATTGGAAGGTTTAACGCAGGAATTGCGGCTTCGAGCTCATGAAATAACGCAACTGGCGGCGACGAGCTTTACTTTTTCCATGGTGGTCTGCTGCCGGGGATCGGAGAGATTATGTGCGGTCGTTGAGAAAGATGGTATTAATTTCCCACTTGGGGAAGCTATATCAACGGATATTGCAGAAACATCATGTGCTTCTCCAGCTGGGTGATTCCCCTTGCTATCTTCGCTCTTGTGTTGGTGGAATGGGAAACTTAACTATCAGATAATGGAAAGTGTGTGTGTGTGAGGGGGGGGGAGAGGGGGGGGAGGGGGCGATAAAAATCGCTTTCGTGACGCGCATGAACAGAGTGGACGTTGCACAGGGTAGACGAGGACAATGGAAAGCTAGCGGTAGAATGGCATAGCTGAAGTATTCCTCAACTGGTCTGGAGTCCTATAATGTTTACTTGAACCTGACCAATTGCGTGACTTCGTCAGTGGAGTCCTTCGTGGACGGATAGCCAGCCATTGGTCATGACTATCTTTGAAAGACTGCTACTAGCGTGCAGTTCACACCACGCCGCCATCATCCCATCACTCGAGCATCTTGGATTCATGAGATTGCTATTCTGCCCGCTAAATCTGCGGTGAAAGTGAAAAAGCTCATTGACCCGGTTTCGGACAGCTTGGAGGCTCTGAAGTAGACGGCATCCTTAGGCTGCTTTTATAGTCTGCGCCGTCCACACGATCCGTGCGGATCGCACGGTCACGGCGTCCGCAGACGGCGCAGAAAGCAGCGTTAGGTGCTTTACCTGACCACTACCCTTTCAGCTACCGAGCATGAGCAGAACTGAGAAGTAATATGGTAGAAGAGGGAAAGAACTTAAGGGTCACTTTGAGGTCAAAAGCTGTACCATGTTTATTATCTTCTGATGTTGTTTCTGTAGAAATGTACTTGGGATGGTAAGGAAGTATTGCGCCGATTGGAAGTTCCACAACTCGCTATCAGTAGCGCATTGGGAAAAGACACCACTTCCATCATCAGTGCCAAGCTCTGGTTCGCAGGCTTCAAAGGAGGAGACACGGCTTCCGAAGACAAGTCAAGGTTGGGAAGCCCCCAAACAGTGGAAGACTCCACCGTTCTCGGCGCTGTCGAAGAGGATCCGGAGGTTAGCACCCGCAGCCTTGTGATAAGACTCGGGTGCACCCATCCCAGTCCTCGGTCCCCTCCACGCCCTCGCCACAGGAAAGTGCCGACTCGATGGATCCTCATGTCTTGACCGATAGCACGCGGTTCAGGCGGGTACCCATTTGTCAGTTTCTCCTTCTTTGTCCGCACCGAAAAGTTTTTGGAAGGCATGATTACGAGAGATGAGAGTTGGGTCCTCTACGATTCTAACAAGCACAGTGCCGTGTGGCTCCCTCGAGGAGGACCCGCCGACACAAGCAAAATCGGACCTTCACCCAAAGTGTCTTCTTTGCTGCCTCTGGGATTCGCGAGGAATGTTGTATTATGAGCTGCTCCCGCAAGGGCATACCGTTACCGGCAGCATTTACGCCAGTCAGCTCAGAAACTAGCGGACGCTGTTCGAGAAAAACGACCGAGACGAACTTCTGTCCACCTACTCCACGATGACGCCAGGCCCCACAAAGCTAAAGAGACCCGTGCAAATTGGAAGAGCTGATCTGGGACGCGGTTCCCCACCAACCCTATTCCCCTGACATTGCCCTCTCTGACTATCACTTATTTCGCCCTGTTAGGGCATTCCTAGCGAAGAAATAAATCACCAATG